TGATGATGATGATAATGACGAGGAGGAGGAGGACGAGCATGATGAGGAGGAGGAACCGGATGAGGACGAGAAGGGGGAACTTCGGAGGGAGGGATAGGTAGGAGCAAGAGGCGGAGGAGGACGAGGAGGAGAATGAGGAGGGATGGATGAGGAGGTCGAGGACGCCGCGGGACGATGATGACGATGGCGTTCCCATGTCGATGACGACGGCGATAACGATTCTGATGCCGATGCTGATGATGCTGATGATGCTGATGGTGATGATGACGATAACACTGAAGATGATGACGATGATGCTGCTGATAATGATGCTGTTGATGATGGTGCTGGTGGTGGTGGTAAGGATGTTGAGGAGGGATGGCGGTGACGATGCTGGTGATGTTGACACTGTTGTTGATGATGATTGTGATGACGATGGGGATTATGCGCAGGCGGAGGTAACGTATGATGACGATGGCGACGATCACGACACTGATGATGTCGATGATTATGATTATAATGATCATCATCATACTGATGATGCTGATGCTGATGACGCTGATGCTGCTGCTGGCTCGTCTGATGCTGCTGCCGAGGATGAGGATGATGAGGCTGATGATGCTGACGATGATGTTGCTTTCGCTGCTCATGATAGTGATGATGACGATGCTGATGGTGATGACGATGCTGATAGTGATGCTGCTGACGATGATGATGATGATGCTGATGACGACCTTGATGATGAGGGAGGTAATGGTTGTGGCGGTGATGATGAGGGTGATGATGCTGATGATGTTGCTGATGATGACGACGACGATGCAATGAAGACGACGATGATGATGATGATGATGATGATGATGATGATGATGATGACCGTGGTGATGATGCTGATGATGGTGATGATGTTGACGATGATGCTGACGATTATGATGTTGCTGATGGTTCTGATGACCCTTCTGCTGCTGATGGTGATGCTGATGATGATGAGGTTGGTTGTGTGATGGTGGTGGTGGTGGTGGTGGTGACGATGACGATGTTGATGATGATGATGGCGATGATGATGCTGCTGCTGCTGATGATGATGATGATGAGGACGACGACGACGGCGACGACGGCAACGACGATGCTGCCGCTGATGATGATCATGCTGATGATGATGATGCTGATGATGATGATGATGATGATGATGGTGGCGGTGACGATGATGATGCTGCTGTTGATGATGATGGTGATGATGGTTGTGGTGATGATGCTGACGATGATGATGCCGATCTTGACGATGATGATGATGCTGAAGATGCCGATGATGATGATGCTGATGACTATGTTGATGCTGTTGGTGATGGTGATGATGATCATGATGTTGGTGGTGATGGGGCTGAGTATAATGACGACGACAACGACGATGCAATGTTGATGCTGATGCTGATGCTGATAATGAACATGGTGATGATTATGATGATGACGATGATAATCATGACGAGGATAATGATGATGATTAGTCTGATGGTGCGGCGGATCTTGATGATGATGATGGTTCTCATGATGATGAGTATGATCATGACGATGCTGATGATGCTGATAATGATGATGATGATGATGATGATGATGATGATGATGATGATGATGATGATGATGATGATGATGATGATGATGGCGATGCTGCCTATGACGATGCTGCTTGTGATGATGATGATGATGATGGTGATGGTGATGGGGATGATGATGATGATGGTTGTGGTGGTGGTCGTGGTAGTGATGATGATGTTGATGATGATGATGATGATGACGATGACGATGTCGATGTCGATGACGATCATTATGATGATGCTGATGCTGATGCTGATGATGCTGATGATGCTGATGCTGATGCTGATGCTGATGCTGATGCTGATGAGTATGAGTATGATGATGCTGATGCTGATGCTGATGCTGATGCTGATGATGATGATGATGATGATGATGATGATGATGATGATGATGATGCTGATGAAGCTGATGATGATGCTGAAGATTATTATTAGTACTGTTATTAGTATGATGTTTCTATTGCTGTTGTTGTTGATTATGATGAGGAGGAGGATGGGGAGGAGGATAAGGAGGAGGAGGAGGAGGAGGAGGAGGAGGTCGCGGAGGAGGAGGAGGAGGAGGACGGGAGTGATACTAATGAGAATGATAGGAGTGACGACGCGAACACTGGTTTCAAGTCAGTGCTTAGGATGACGGATTCGCTTGGCCTGGTAGCGGGGAAGTCGGCGAGGTGCCAGACGGCAGTGTCGATCTTCGTCGCAATACCCCTCGTCGTCGTCATGATTATCGTCGTCATTTTCTCTTCCCTCTTCCATCCTGCTACCTTCCCTTTTCCCTCCCTCCCCCCCCCTCCTCCCGCCTCCCTCGGGCCGAAGAAGCTTTGGAGAATATTGATTATGTGTCACATCAGTCCCGTGAGGACACCTCGGTTTCTGATGACTTGCGTTTCTGGCGTCAGGTCCCAGTGGCCCAGACGTCAGTCCCGGAGTGC